TAAATAGCAAATAGGTGGGTCGAGTTAATACTATGCTATATATATATATATATAGGAATTTTACAATATCTTCTTGGTTGTCACTTTTAAGTGAATCACAAAATATAAGGCACCCAAAATTGTTCACAAACTTTATCTTAAACTCAAGAAGGCTTGATTTTGTTTGTTTGTTTTGAAATTTACTCAAACTTACTTGAGGGCTATCTGTGCTAGCTATCCCTAACTTAGCAATGATAGTCAAGAGGGAAGGCATCTAGCCGACACCACCCAATGCCAATTCTTGAGCTACCCCTTTACCTATGAATAGTGCAATTGACCATCACATTATAATGAACCAACGACTGAAAGAGTGAGCGTGTTTGGTGACAGGGATTCGATCCCGTGAGTCGAGTGCCCTAACCACCAGACTGCCATGTCCCAGTGCTTCAGGAAGACATGTCATCAGATGAAAGATTGCTAATCACATAAAGTTGTTATGAACAGTATATGATTGTTTCAAATTCTTATTATTAGAAAGCAGAACTGCTTCCAAACCAAAGATATGATTGCTTGGACACCTGGAAAAGGTAGATTATTATTCTTAGCACAAACAGGAAATTGTTATCTGTTCATTCAGCTGCAAACATCAAATATCTGCTATAAGAATGAGTCATATATATTTGCAGCTACAGCTGTACACCATATCAATCTACAGATGATTTAAAACAGACTTATAAACTGGTCTGTATGTCAGATGTCCCCTAAGTTGCATTATGCTCACATAGCAAGGTATAAAACAGTTTGCTTGTAATGATGCTAAGAGCACATCCAGTATATTAGTATTTGGAGTATTATTTTTTAACAAATGAGATTGCTTCACTCTGCAGTCCAATAATGGATTTATGCTCATTTAGAAAGAATTAGGAAGCAATTATATGGTGGTTATAAAATTAGAGTGTTTGGAGAACCAGCATCTATGTGTTATAGAATGTCCTTAATTCTCCTTATGTTCATGGCACACCCTACAACAGAACAAGTTACTGGGCTCTATTAGTCCTTGGTTTTCACCTCATAATTGGACAGAGTCTACAATGGTAAGAAGTCCAACCAGTGAGCTGCTTACAGGTTACATTTCACCAGTGTAGATGGTGTCGACAATCCAATAGTAGAAACTTCCTCAGACTTTTCAGCAGCATCAGAGTCTGCAGTCATTGCATAGGTATCTTAGCCTTTGGAGACATCAATGCGAATCCATTCATAGATGTGGCAAGCTGTCCAACATCAGATATATTGATTGGCAACGTACTTTCATCCATGGGTTCTGTCACAGTGTATGCCAGGCCAATCCCTTCAGTCTGGTTGACAATTTCAAGTTGTATAAAACGTTCTGGGCATCCTGGAGTATCTGCAAGGTTTTTTTAATAGAGTTATAATTCATTTTCAACAAAATAAAATCAGGAACAAAGATATGTTATTGAAATTGGTCAAGAAAATCGCTGGTTAAACACTATGTAAGAGAAGAGACTGATCGTGGCTAAAACTGGACTATAAATAACTGAGTCTAGATTTAAATGCTAGGTTGGTTGAAACTTTATTGGACAAAGGTTAGTTCATTGGTTATAAATGGTTGTAATATTTGGTTAAGACCATGAACTTTGACATCAGGCATAATGTTTACTGACATCTAATCGTTCCCATAAAACATAAGTCTATAGAACCACAGGACTTTCCAATCTCTGGGCTTTCCCAGGTTTCCATTCAAATAACCACAGTGTAGCACGCTGACAGCAAGAGGGTGGAGTTAATCTTGACAAAAAATTGAGAGTGATGAACTCTACATTTTGTGGGCACAATGTTATACTATTTGGGATGCAAACCTGTTTTTAACAGCAAATACTTCTTGTTGGGTGTAGGAGATACAGGGAAGGCAAAAACACATTTTGGAGTAGCTTCAGTCCTTACTATCACCCCTGTTCAATAGTTTTCTCCTCCTCCACAGTTTCTCGCCAGAGTTAATGCTGACCTCTACTTATAAAGGAGTTTCTCAGCCGAATTTACAAGACGACCCCTACATCCGAGCTTTCGTCATCGCGATCCCTATTATCTCTACAACGAGGAAAAAATATAGCAATTCTATTTATTTAAATACAATTTTGACTCAGTACAGACAGCTCGCGACCCTCAAGGGGTCGCGACTTGGATCTTTGAGGAACACTGCCTTAGTTACACAATAGACGCTCTTCACAATTACATAGCTTATATATCTGAGTTCTTTGACTCATTATGTTTATACAAAGATGGCGCCTATGAACTTAATAGTGGCAAAACTTCTGGGCGTTTTACATTTATACCTTGTATAACTCATGCATGCTTTCTTTGTTTTTCTCTTTCGAATGTAAAGGCTTCAACACCTCCTTTTCCTGATATTGTAATTTTTACTGACCCTCTACGTAGTCTTCTTTTGTTAAAATCTCACAATAAGAGTACTTACATGGGTTATTTTGGGAATGTCATGTTTTTTACAGCAACTTTTTTCGAAATAGTCCTCAAGTTCATTGTGTATGGATTCCTAGTTACTATGGCATTCCTAGGAATGAACTTTCAGATAAGACAGTACTTTTATTCAGTATTTCTACTTTCCCTAAGTACCTAATTTTATCAGAATTTGTTTCACAAACTTCTTTCGTCGTGGTCTGAGCACTAGTCAGACTCCCTTACATATTCCTTATTTCTATCACTTAAAAGAACCGGTCACTATATTACATTACTTTAGATAGGATGTCGTAATGAATGGTTTGCGACTTGAAACTTGTCATTTAATTTAAGCTGAACGTTGCATAAGATTGGTTTGGTGCACAAAACCTCCTTGAAGACTATTAAACATATATGTTCTTTCACAGTGCTTCTTATAGATTAGGACGTGAATCGCTCAAGCAGTTTAGGTCACATTTGAAAGTGTATTTTACTAGGGAGACTTCTACAGTTGTAGCTTCCTGATTTGGTATTGCATATGCCTCAGGCCACTTGGTGAAATAATTCATCACCACACAAATGTACTTGTTTCCAGCACGAGTTTGGGGCAGAGGACTAGCAATGTCAACGGCTACTCTTTCCATTGGTGCGCCAACTTGATATAACTTCATTTGAGCACGTCTCTTATGTTTGGGTCCCCTTTGAGCACAACATGTACTGCATGTCCTGCACCATTCTTCCACACCTTGCCTCATACCTATCCAGTAAAATCTCTGTCGTAGGTGACTCAATGTTTTCTTAACTCCTAGATGTCCTCCTATGAAACTATCATGGGATTGACGCAGCACAACTTCAAGTAACTTTCTCGGTATAACCGTTTGCCAAGTCGTCACTTTCCCATCTCCGGACAAGAATACCATCTTCAAGCTTCAACTGGTCCCATTGTGCCCAATAGTTCTTTGCCACAGGGCTTAGACTAGACACCTTCTGCCAAGCATGGTGCAAAACACTTGCTTTTAGAAGATCAATTATTGGCTTCAAATCTTGGTCTTTTTCGTGCTCTTATATAAAATCTATACCTGGTTCCATTTCACCATCATCAACTCCTTCAGTCACTTTGACTTCAGCTTAATGGTACCTGGTTAGTTCAACCTCTCTTTTAACAGTTACTTGAATTTGGCTTTTGTTGTTCCAAAACGTCATTTTATCAAAAATTAATTACAAACTTCCTCTGTAGTAAGTAGTCCTATCCTAATATGCATTCGGCTTCAATGTTAGCTAAGTGTACTTTGTGTCTGTCCTTCATGCCTATGAGCTGAATAGTGACGTGTTATTAGGTCACGTGACTTTCGCTGTCGTAACAGTACCTTGGTGTGCTTAAATCCTCACTGGATTTTACATCACCATAAAACAATGAACAAACGAGTTAAGTATCTGCACCAAACTCGCTTGGACTGTATTTTGTTTTAATGTTATTCTTAAAATAACCAAAAACTAAATTAGTATTCACTGAAACTATAGAGATGAAAAATAAAAGATTTGTCAGTAGAAATATCGAAATCCGGTTTCTAACGTTGAAAGTCCGCTCTACGTTTCAAAACTTGTGGAATTATTTTAGCTGATCTGGTCTTTAAACGTGCCGAAGTTGGAAGAAAATGCAAAGTGTAAATTAAAAATAAAATAGAAATAGCTGTTTACAAGAAATTGTTGAGGCTATTCATATTATCAATTTTAAGTTAGCCGTAGAATGCTATTTGTTAAGCCTAACAGTATCACATGATTTAGCGTCAAAAGTTTTGATAACCATAAATAATTCATATTAGATATCTATAGAATGATAAGTTTCTTTTTTATGAGTGTAAAACACTTAAAAACTCCATTTCGACACCTCACTACCATAAAAGCTTGGTTTGGTCTGAAGTTTCATTTGGTGGTCGTGTCCAGGGTCACTGAAGATGAGTGGACTTCTTCTATACTAGTCTGGCCCACAGACACACCCCCAATGAAACAATAGACCATTCCAAGCTTTTACTTGTTGTTAAACAAATGTCATAGTAGTTTTGCCATTAGTCGACTATTAACTATTTTGATATTACAATTTGCAGATAATTTGTGTCACGAGTGATATCTAACCAGATCTAGTCTTAAAAATTATGACGAATAAGACTGCAAATGGCAATAGTTATTAATACTACAGTATACTGTCAAACTCAAAGTGAGTTCATATATACTAGAGAAACAAAAATCCTTTGCAGCTTGAACTATAAGTTTATCAATAATAATTTAGTTAAACATTTTGCAGCGCAGCCTTACTCAAAACTCGACAATGGCCAACTTAGCTGTCTAAAGTTGTAGAAATGTAATAATAATTAATATTTGTATAGTATTCTACTACCATTAGTAGTACTAAACTGTTTTAAAGTTAAGTGTTGATGGAATAAATTTAATGGATATTCGTATTATTAGATTTTAATGAGTAGTGTTTAACATCCTATTGCTATAAAACCGAAGTCAGCAATGAGCCCATATGTGTGTTGTATTAGAATGTCTTGTAAAATCCCAATATATTTGACACTTTATTTACATAAGAATAACCCAAACTTAGCAGTGGGTGCTGCATTCTCTCTGGTTGAGGAGTTAAAAATCAGTAACCCTTTGGGTAGCTTTGCATGACAAATCTGGGGAATCTCTTTAAAAATTTTGTGACATGTCACATGTGCAGTTCGACACTTCTATATGCATAAGGTTAGTAACAGCATGTAATGAAAATTTAGGTGTTTATTTGTTTAGGAGATGTCACTGTAACAATGTGTTAGTGAGATATAAGTTTTATTTGTTTGTTGACATTCATACTGCTAACCTCATATAAGTGTTTAAAGGGTGGTAAACTGATGTAATGATGGAAGTATTGGAGATTAAAATAGAATCCTTTAGTGATGAGGAGCAGGATAATTTCTGGAGGAATGAAGAAAAAACATCAATTTGTGGTAAGTGCAACTTTTAAGAATATAAACCTGCTGTTTTTTAATAGGATTTAGAGTCCATTTTTATGTTAGACTTTTAATAAATTTATGCACATTCATAAATGTTGTGTTGCTGATGTTTAATATCCATTAAATGAAGTAATTAACTTCAACTAAGTTCTTTTTTTTAAATGTTTGTAATACTTGGATATTGCTAAAAAATTACTTAATATAAAGTGTGTGCTGTAAGAATAAAACAATAAATTAATACAAAAAAGGTTTATAAATTAAAAAAAGTAATACAATGATGTTACTACACTGATAGTTATGTTTATACTTTGTTAATTCTTATGTTACAATATGGAAAAATGATACAGTAATGTAGCTGTTTATAAAATCCA